GTTAGTAAATGACCACAAAATTCCAAGTAAGGAATGGTGACCCATGAACTGGGTTAGTAAGATTAGAAAAAACACTAAGTAAAACTGAGACATTAAAAAATTACCAAACTCAATTAATTCAAAAATTTCCAAGTTTTAAGTTGGTAATCAAGTTTTGCCAAGTCTATTTTCAGGATACTGAAAAGATAACACCAATTAAAAAATCTAGAAATAGGAAGATCAAATGAAGGAAAATGAAGAAAGTACAAGCGAAGTACTTAAGACTGTCTGATACACAACAAACATTCTTAATTATTCCCTCCCTTAAAGCAATTTTACACTACCCATTACACATGACACAACTAGATAATACGAATGGTAAAGAGGAACAAAATGTACTTACTGGTAAAAAGACTATTAAGTGAAGTTTCTTTTGAGGATTCCTTTGAGGATGAAATGCCAACATGTACAATAAAAATGTATGGTGCATCTTGCCAAGTTTTCAGTGGATCGTGCATTGCCTGGAGAGAGAAAAAAAAAGGACAACATATCTACAAGTATTAAAACCTAAGAACATATGTTAATATGAAAATCTTGTTCCAGAATGTGCCCAGGAATATGGATGAGTTCTTCATTTCCATTCATTAAAATAGTGGTAGGCACAATAAAACAAACAGGTTTATAGTACATACAATAAAGTAAGACTATAAGGTACTAAAAGACAGGACATGTTATAGCTTTATGCACAAAAATCACATACTTAACACTTATTTACAAGGAAAACCTCAGCTAAAAATCACTACATTGAATCTGTTTAATTAAGCCATGCTAGGATACTTGGTTATGTTTCATATGGATGAACTAAAAAGATTTAAATCATCTCAAAACAAAACAAAAACACCCATGATGCTGACAGTGAATTACATTATAAACACTAATTCCTGAATTAATTCTCTTTGTTCAATGTTCTTCTCAAGACTACCAGAATATCTTAGAAGCATTCACATCTTTATCAAAAATTTAATCATGGCTGGTCTATGTGGAAAGAAAAAGTCACTGTTCCTCAAAGTAAAGGAAGTGGAGGTAAGTGCCTCCATGTTTACAAAATTGGTTACTTGGGAAGAATCTGCTCCAAGGCCAGTGAATTTATACATAGCCTGAGCAAAAAGCCTTCGAGGATTTGTTGCCACACTTGCTAGGTGGGACAATGGACCTTCACAAACACAAGACTAAAACACAAAGATAAAGGAGATGAACACAGAAAATTGCTGGCTTCTTCTTTGTGTGTCAAAGGAAGTACTGCTACTTAGACTTGCAATTTATGACTTGTGGTCTTAAAAAAAACTTTTGTCCAGACACCACTGAGTAAGCTTCATTGATCTATGAAAACCCTCAAACTGGGTAACAGATTTTGCGTATTTATGTGTTTTCCTGTAGAACCACAGGTTTTCTCAAATACTCAAATTATCCTACAACCCAAGAAAAAGCTAAAACGAGAGTTCAAAAATTACATTCCATGATACAAACCCAAGTGTCAAAGTAGATTAAATGATTCCACAGCTATACATTTCCTAGGTTATCTCAGTAACTTAAGAACATAAATGCCATACTGAATCATTCATTGGTTTATCTCTGCCTGAAGGACTCTTTACGACAAAATTCAGGAGCAATTTATGAGAAAAACTGAGAGCTTCAAAGTTACAGGTACATCATGTACTATTTATCCATATTGACTGAACCTTTCCTGAACTTATTCAATAACCAATAAAACTAGGCATAACAAGCTGCTCTGGTATTAATCTTATATATCTTAAAACTACCTCTTACAAATTTTAAAAGGGACTAATTCTCATATTCTAGTATTTTATAAAGTTTCCATTTAGTTCTGGAATATAGATATTTTGACCCTGTAAAAATAACATTCAGATACCAGGCACTCTGTCATGTTTAATATTTATCACAGTCTTTAATCTTCACAATAACCCCATCAGATGGGTACCAATATTAGCTCCTTCAAAGATGTCCTTTAATGGGTGAATGGATAAAATAAACTGTGGTACATTCAGGTAATGGAATGTCATTTAGCACTAAAAAGAAATGGACTATCAAGCCATGAGAAAACATGAAGAAACCTTACATTCGTAATACTAAGCGAAAGAAGCCGATCGGAAAAGGCTATATACATTATACAATGCCAACTATATGACATTCTGAAAACTGCAAAACTATGGAGACAATTAAAAAAATTTAAAAAAGTAAAAACATAAAAATAAATCAGTGATTGCCAGGTGCTTGAGGGGAGGGAGATGACTAGGTAGAAGGAGTATTGAGGGTTTTTAGGGCAATGAAACAATTCTGGTGTATTATAATAGGGGATATCTGTCATTTTACATTTGTTAAAAACCAAACACTGTACAACACAAAGAACTAAAGCAGCTAATGTAACTATGGACTTTGGCTGGTAACAATGTGTCCACATTGGTTCATCAATTGTAACAAATGTGCCACAATGGTGCAGGAAGGCCATGGTGGGGAAGTGTGAGTGCGCATTTGTGGAGGCGGTATGTGGGAATCCCGCTTTTTGCTCAATTTAAGGAAAAAAACCTTTCTTAATATTTATTACTTTTGAGAAAGAGAGACAGAGCGTGAGCAGGGGAGGGGCCAAGAGAGACGGGGACACAGAACCTGAAACAGGCTCCAGGCTCTAAGCTGTCAGCAAATGATGTCTAGCTATATTTTTGTGCACATTTATGTTTTCTTAGCCTAAATTCCTAGAGGTGGAGTTGCTAGGTCCAAATGTATGCACATTTTATAAGCACTTTTCTTGTGCTTGTCTAAGTGCTCTGGAGAAAAACTGTAGCAATTTATGGTCCCAAGAAAATAAGATTGAGCTTCCCTCTTTCCTCATACTGACTGTTATAATTTCAAATAGATTTTATACAGTTTGTCAAGTTAAATTGTTATCATTTGTACTTTTAAAAAATTGTTGTAAGTGAATATTTATTTATATGCATATAGGACATATGTAATTGTGCATTTTTAGTGGTCTTCTGTGCATAGCATTCTTTTTAATTCTTCTCAAGGCTTGAGCTCTGTTCCTAGTGATTAAAGCTGGCTGAAAGATGACCCTGTTGAATATCAAAGTAGTATTTGCAGGCATTTAGTCAGAGTATAGTCAAAAGAAGTTAAAAAACTATCTTTCGACATTCTTCCTGAAAATTTGCCTAAGAGGAGAATAGTTTAATAATTCTATTTTTAAAGGGTTCTCACAAGTTTAGCACCTCTATCCCCTTTTATTAAAGCTCTGGTAAGACATTTTTTAGACAAAGGGGCCTCTCCCTGCTGCCCCTACTCCCTAAAAACAGATTTAATGCTTTTATTAACTCAATTTTATGGTTCGATTTAAGCAATAATGTGATATATTTGCCATTATAATGTTTTTTAAATTAATAGATTTTTTTAGAGCAGCTTTAGCTTTATAAAAACATTGAGCAGGGGCTCCTGGGTGGATCAGTAGGTTAAGTGTCCAACTTCAGCTCAGGTAATGATCTAGCAGTCTATGAGTTTGAGCCCCTCGTCCAGCCCTGTGCTGACAGCTCAGGGCCTAGAGTCTGCTTCGGATTCTGTGTCACTCTCTCTCTTGGCCCCTCCCCTGATCGCACTCAGTCTCTCTCTCTCAAAAATAAATAAACATTAAAAA